GGAAGGATCATCATGGTAAGAAAGTCGGTCATTAATGGTGTCACGACGTTCACGAGAGTACTGCTGATTGCATTATGACATTAAGTATCTGGTCTTGCTAGGACGTGTGACTTTCGTCCCCTGGTCTTTCTTGTGGTCTGGTAGTTGCGATTTCCTCGTTCAGATGACTCGGGAAAGGCATTTGCCGTATGACCGTCCCGTCCTGTCTAAGAAGTTGGATGCTGGCGATGATCCATCTAAACTCTACCTACGCGACAGGGAGTTCTATGCTAAGTCGGCAGGGAAGCTGGAACGCTGTAATGGAGAGGTAGCTGGTCCTGGTAGGCACGATATAGAGGTCTGGACGGAGACTTTGGTCACCAAGGTTGATGCCGAACATCGCATTGTGGAGGTTCAACCATCGAAAGCTCACAAGTGAGTGAGAGGATCGTTATGCGGTGCTCGAACTGTCGGCTGTTACGCTTAGTGCTCACCAGTGTGGAGAAATATGCACATGGTGAACCACATATGTTGGTGGAAATGCGTAGATTATGAGAAAGTTTTAGGAAATTCTCATTGGTTTCTGTAAATTTAGACGGAATTGATGTGTGAACTTCTACAATTAGTCAGAAACTTCTGAACTCAACTGAGGAAAGCGAACATATATTTCAACACTGCTGCTCGAGGTGATCGCATGAGGGTAGAGAGTCTTTGCCAGAGTTGTGTAGCTAGCGTCATTTCAGTCATCCATCCCAAGTTACGTACGACAAGTGCCTATGGGCCGCGGGTTCAGATGCTAGGAAAGCCTATATACCAGGCCTTAACGCCAAGTACTACATTTATAGACACTCTTACAGAAGTTCTTTATTAGGAACGTTTTCTGTCTCCGGACGCCCGATGATGCTCACGCTATAACGGAATATGCTGAGGCTGGGCAACGGGTAGTAGTGGAACTGTTCGGGGCTGCTGGCGAATGTGGTCCTTGCTCTCGACCGCCCCACTTCGTTGCTTCTCAGGTGGTTTTGGTTGGTTCGGGTTTCATCGGTATGGAGATGGCTAGTGCCCTGGTTAGCATGGGAGTAGACGTCACTGTTGTCGGTAGGGCGTTGGGATGTAGATGAGGTAGGGAGCTGTAGTGTTTAGGTAGGGAGACTGTGCCGTTCCAGAGGGTACTGGGGAAGAAAGTCGGGGCATATTTCGCCCATATGTTAGCGGAAAGGTGAGGAGGGAGGGCGGATGGGCTTATGTCGCTACTCGGGAAGTATGATCTCATCGGTGTCGCAGTGTCGGACTTGTGTTAGAGTTCACTCAGGCACATACAATTCATCGGAGGAACGACGGTGAAGTTGCTCAGATCAGAAGCGATGGAACATGGTTGTAAGTGTTGAGGGCGGCGTTCGATTTGTGATAGTGTTGTTGGAGATGCCGAAAATCTGGAGTCCGTTCAAGTGCTCACTTTTCCGAGTTCGAGAGCTTGGAAACAATACCAGTCCGAGCTCAGATAAAATAATCTGCTCAAGTGAAACTTGTCAACCGAGCTTGTATTCTACCGGTGAAATCGGACGATCTTCTCTTTCCCCAGCCGTTTCATATTTTCGGGCGAGCGAAATTTGTTGGGGTGTAATTACAAACTAGTGCGTGGTGGGCTGTGCAATTGGTTTGCACTCAGCCTACAGCGAGGACAGTCTCGTGAATGGAGTGGAGCTTGATGATGGTGATCTCCTTTTTGCGGACGCTGTCATCATGGGTACAGGGGCAGTCCCTAATACTTCACAGCTTACTGGTGTACAGAGGGCTGTAGGTGCTCCCGTTGGTCCAGCTGTTGTGGCTTACAGGATGATGTTTCAGGCCGATGGGTCACTGCCGACGGACCCTTTTTTGGGGGTACAGCTTGCTGATGGTTCCTTTAGCAATACGCTTTATGCTGCTGGAGATGTGGCAAGATACCCCGATGTGCGCACAGGCAAGATTTCATCATTAGTGTGAGTTCATTCCGAGGATACTGAGGTTAGGTGAGCCGCTGAGAGTGGAGCATTGGGATGTCGCACTACAAATGGGCAGAATTGCGGGAGCGAATATGGCTGGAAAATTTAGACCGTGAGTTTTGTGGCGCGTGACGCGAGTCAGATGAAAATGCGTGATAGGTACAATACGGTGCCCTATTTCTGGACGATGATATTTGGCAAGTCCTTGCGGTACGTTGGCAGCACAGGTGGCAAGGACGGATCTAATTTTTTTGATAATGTTATCATCGAAGGGGACTTCAAAGAGAGTCGCTTCGTGGCTTATTATTGTCGGGTAAAAGGAGCATCGTTTCTTGGGCGGAGCGAAGCAGTTTTGGTAATCTTCCTTAGGGTGATCATATTCTGGCAGTAGCGACCGTGGGATCGGATCCTGTTGCCGTCGCCTGTGGAGAGCTGATGAAACGAGGCTTGATGCCCCGTACTAGCGAGCTCATGCTAGGAACCTGTGATGCCCAAGGCATTCTAGAGTAAGGCAGTATTCACGTATGAAGTGAATGGCGATACTCGTTGTTACATAACTCATGTCATTGCCTATTTGTGTGGTTACAGGCGGGTGAAGAAGTTGGACGAAATAACGAAACCGAAGAAAGGACACCCAAGACCAAGAAGGC